GGGGGGGGGTGTAAGTAGTATGTAATAGAAGGACTCGCCCCCCGTCCGTCTCTCCGTCCGCCCGTCCATCCGCTCGCTATACGAACTGTTGTCTCTGTCCGATGTGTAGCAAGTAGCGAGTAGCAAACTACTCTTCACAAGAGGACGGTTCGTTACCCGTCTGCTCATTTGCGGGTAGTGCCAGCGAGTAGTTCGTTACTCGCGGACGCTGATTTAGCAAGCACGACCCAACTCTACTGTAAAGTGTTCTTGGTCTATCTTATTTTCTATTTTCCAAATGTTTTCCCTCCAAGGAAATTGTTATTTCCTCCCAGCCTGACTCGGCCAGTGACAGAAATATGCAATGTTTGACCCATGATAAGAGATATGTGTACAACCTGTACTTTTTCATTATGGAAACTTTATTTAATAAATCAGTGTTTTATATAATGTGGTGTGGGCCAGTGATCTTAAACATTGAGTAAACTTACTTGCTTTCTCGGTCTATCTGAGCTTCGTTTGCCTTCCTTTTTTTCAGGGGAACTTATTATTAGTTTTTGTTTTAACCATTTTAGGTCATTTTAAAAACTTCTGTGCAGGTGTTGAGATTGGAAGACCACCCTCATCCTCAGCTGACCCTTCTGGTCCGGTTTGATGACCAGATCAACCGACAACTCCAGTGTGAGATTACCAATGACTCAGGAGAATCATTGGCCGATGATCTAGTCTACCATGGTTTTATCAACGAAGTAAGTAGTACATTTCATTAGAATGTGTGAGGCAGCGTGCTGGAATCAGGCTCTCGTCAATTTTTGGGCATGTAGAGTTTTTGGTATCATCTTAAAGCTTGTTCATTTGTTTTTATTTGGATGAAAAAGATATCCATTTATCTTGAATGCAAGTCGAGATATTCACAAAAGAAGGAGGTGGGGGTCACCTGTTTTCAGATGTAAAGTTAGTGAGAAAATGGCCTCCAAAGACTAGTTATTTTCTTAGCTTAAGGAGTCCATGGTAACTGAAGATTTACATTTTTTATGCCTTTAATCAACGCTTTTCAGAAAAATCCACACAGAAATGAGTTCTTTAATGGGCATGAAAGGTGTTGTGCCGAAAAACAAAATTTTGATAAAAATCCACAAACCTGCGGAAAAATGCAAGTTTCTTCACTTTGATTATTTTGACGAGAGCCTGATTCCGCCACGCTGCCTCACATATGTGTTTTCCAGTCAGTGATAGTGGGGCTTGTCTCTTTCTACCACATGAGAATGTTTTCAGCTCTTTGGAAAATGATACTTACAAATGCGGCTGTGATAATAGAAATTATATCTCCAGACTTGAGCTCTATTTGAAACAGATGTAATTAGATGAAATTTATTGTTTTTCCTAGCCTTAACTTTCTTATTTTAATTCTTATATGTGTGGCATCGAAGTGAAATCGGGCGCTTATCAAAATAATGGAATCGAAGAAACTTGAATTTTTCCACTCGCTGGGCAATTCTTATCCAATTTTTTTTGGCTCAACACCCTTTGATGTTCCTTTAAAGACACATTTGTATGCGAATTTTCCTCAAAATTGTTGTTCAAAGCCACAAAAGATGTAAATATTTTCAGTTTCCAAGGACTCTCAATCTTTGGAAGTCACCAAACTTTGGCAGCCATTTCCTTTCTATTTTTGCCTCTGATACTGTCTTCAGGCAACCCCACCTCCTTCAGTCTCAGATATCTAAGATAGATAAGATAAGATAAGATAGTACTTTATTATCCCAGAGGGAAATTTTCCTTGGCTGTACAGGACCGTAAAAACACATGCAGGTATACATTTTTTTTTTAATATGAAAAATTTAAACTTCTCAACTTCTATTCAAGATAGATTCAAGATAGATGAGTATATTGTCATTAAGAGCAAGACAAATGAACAAGCTTTATGATGATGCCAATAACTCCATATGCCCAAAAGTTGATGAGCGTCTGCTTCCCCTGTGTCCCGACACATTTTGTATGCCATTACTGGAAATAGTTAATTTATGTTCAGATGGTCTCGTTGAACCCATAACTACTTCATAATGGTAAAAATCGGATGTACAGTATTTGAAGTACTTTTTGTAATTCCTGAATTTTAAATTTGATTGGAAAAGCTTTTGAAACATCCTTTACAATTCAGATTTCTTACTGTCTGAAATGTAGCTTTGTCTTTCTTACTGAAGATTCACTTGATGAGTAATATAACTGGTATTTTAGTATTTCATGCTGTCTTTCATTCATACCTTTGTGGTGTTGTGAAAGACCTTTTCTTTGCTTTCATTCATCTTTTTACCTGACGTTTTCTGATCGTTTACTAATCTGATGCATTTCAGAAAGACAGAGACAAGGTTGCATCATTGATTGGGGGTACATTGCCCTCAACGAGTATTGTCCAGTCCCCTGACAGAATAGTGTCCCCAAATCTGGTGGGAAATGTCTCCTAGTCTTTGAGGAACAGGGTGTTTGTCACCTTTTGCCTATTGTCTTGTGTAATAGTGATGAATATTCCCTGTGCTCATGTCTGATGCTACTTACTATTTCTGTGCATCCTCTCTCACCCTCACACAATAGTACTATTATTGATTACATGCATGATGATTGTATGAATATGAATAGTATGAGACCATGGTGGAGGTATGGCTTTCGCAGCCAGAAATCTGCCGTGGACCCTGGACCACTTAAAACATTCATTTGGTTTTGACCAAGCGCCTTTCTAGCAGCCATATAGTCTAGAAATATGCGGAAGTGTGGAAGATGAGCCATGATATTATTGAAGCTTTCAAGTCTTTACCATTATTGCTTTGCTGAATTGTGGATAACGAGTGTGGTATGAAGTGCATGCTTTTCAATAAAATAGCCGAGTTTTGTTCCTCCTGCTGTTTGGTGATTGTGGAGTTTTGAGTTGAATGTCATATGATATACATGTCTACTGTGTGCTTGAACATGTCCTATGCTGGGGACGGGGCTGAAAGAGTTCACATTTTCTAAACTGCTATTTTGTCTTGTGTTTTTGAATGAAGTAGAGTGTGCAACTGTGATGACTTTATTTGATGATGTTGAAATACTTTCTGGAAAGCTACCTACTCAAACAATGTTCAGTCCTGCTCTATAGCACCTTGACCATTGTTATTGAACTCGTGGGAATGCGTCTGTTGTTAACACATATTTCATGAGGGTCATATTTAGAAGAGGGTATGGTTTCCACATTTTTTAAAATCTGTCATCAGATGAAGAAAGTTTTGTTTTTGTGCACAGACCTAGCGAGCTCTGATCATGGAATTGATTGTGCATCAAGGTTCAACCTTTTGACAGAAAAAATCATCCATAGCGATACTGGTAAAGAAAGGGATGAGTGTGTAATTTCTTTTTGGAATAGCTGAATAACTTTTGGACCCCCTCACTGCAAAAAGTATCAGAAGACAGCAAAAAGAGAACAAATTTATTGGGCATTGATAAGTACTTGCCTGTTTCATTCCTTTGTTTCAGAGGGCTGGGAGCTTAGTCTTGTAACAAAACGGCAAAGTAAATTTCTCTTGATTGATGGGTGAAACTGCTCGTAGTTGTCCCCCTTTTGTACCAGAAGAGATGAATGGTTAACACTTGCCATTTCTGTTGAACACTTGTTTGCTGACCAATACAAAGTTTTCTCATTATTAATCCTAGATATGTGGTTTTTGAAAAAGCTCCAGCAGTATTTTCCTTCCTTTGAACAATCTAGCATATTGCATAATGAGGATATTATTTTGATAAGCGCCCAATTTCACTTTGATGCCACACATATAAGAATTAAAATAAGAAAGTTAAGGCTAGGAAGAACAATAAATTTCATCTAATTACATCTGTTTCAGATAGAGCTCAAGTGTGGAGATATAATTTCTATTGTTACAGCAATGTAATAGTTCTTTAGTGTAGTGTAGAAAGGTGCAAAGAGAGGATTGTTTGTGGGCCCTGTCAGCCACAGAGAGACTGACACACCATGTGCTGATGAATTAGAGTATATACCTTTGTCCTGTCATTTTTCCCATCAACTGTGAACATTCACATACAATTTGTTGACAATTACAATGGGCAATACCATTGGCCAGGGGTCACCGAACCGCAGCCTTTTGGGCAGGTCAGGTCTGCGAACTTTAAAGATGTGGTTGTTTTTATTGTTCCTAGGACTTGGTCACCAAAATAGTTCAATCTTTTCGTTGAACTCTACCATGAAAATCCAACATGCTTTTATAAGCTTCATAAATCCAGGCTACTGTGCATGTTCTGATGTAATCAGTGTAATGTACGGAAAGAAATAGTTCTCCCATTCAAACTTGGCCTTGTCTCAATTATTTGGCCCACTTTGAAAAAAAAGTGGTGACTCTTGAGAGCACGAAACTTGTATCGTCAAAAATTTCCCTTTTCGGATCCTGTGTCCAAGTTCCCAAAGCCTTGAGTTGCAGGTGCAAGAACTGCTAGAAGAGCCAAAAAAAAAAAAATGTTTGTGGTAGAAAGGTGTAGGCTCATTCCATGCATGCCCTTCTAGCACAGTGAAAGATGAAATGGTAACATAATACAAAAGAGTGACTGGAACTTTAAGGCTTGATTTTATAGTGTTGGCAAGTACTCATTCCTTACTTGTATGAATATATATATATATATATTTGTACCTCATATCTTTATGTGCACTCACAGTATTCTAAACAAAAATATTCTTTTGTGTTTTGTGAAAGTCACTGCATAGATCCTATATTCTTTTTTTTTAAATTGTGGGAAGTCTTCAGTTCATTGTAACAACACTGGATACATTCCTCTAAAATAGGCATTGGTTGAGTTGTAGAACTTTTGTTATACCTCATACTGTATTTAGGTTTTCATGTACCACTAGTACTTAACCATCGTTTTGTCGAATGCACTTCTCATAAAGAACTTAAAAGTTGTATCTTATTTCCTGAATCATAAACGATTAATGCTGATAAGAATGTTACTTCTATTAGAACTGCAAGAAACTGTGTCACAGTGTGAGATTTGTAGCTAGTATTTCTTTTTTCATTACAGTAACATAGCTCAAGTCACTCTGATGCTGTGGTCTTTTGATTGATGCTGTGGTCTTATGAATACAACTTTCTATCTACATTTTTCCAAATCTGATTTGGCTATTTGACTCTTGAATTGCCTACTGGTGAATCTTCTGGTTTATAGATTCTTTTGATATTTTTCCTGTGCATGATCTACTCATGGATTTGTGCAGTGTGTTTATTTCTTTATCTTGTCTTTTTCTTAGTCACAGAGCGATATGCCACAAATCACACGCTTCGACAGCATGTCAGTTTTCAGCTTTTGGCATAGAAGAAGAGGATCGCAAAGATATGTATTAAATATGTGGAATTTTTAAATTTTTTTTACTTTGAAAAAAGATTTCAAACACATCAGTCAATACTTTTGGATGGCAAGGTGTTAATTTGTGCAGTTTAAACTCTTTACAAACTAAACTTATTGGTCAACCTGTTGTTTTACGGGACGCAAGTTCCTGGCAGTTACTCAAACTGAAGAGGTTGTAATAGTTGTCTGTGCCTTTTTTTTTGTCTGAGAATCCTATCACACACATGTCTCTCTGACAGGCCCATTCTTGTCCTCTGGTTATGCTACATTTGGAACTTTCAAATAAATTTCACTTTGTCAGTTGTGGCAGTGTCACAGAGCTCAGCTTTCACCTGTTTGACTTCAATGTAATTAATGTAATTCCCTCACAGATTCCACCATTAGAACACCCGATTGTCATACGAACTCTGATCATCACGCTCCATCCTCACTACTGAATGTCATATTTATGTGTGTATACATGTACATAGCCTGTGCAAAGATTCCTCCAACATAATGTTGATAGCATTTCACTTCATCACTGCATTGGCATTATATCTTTTCTTGTCTGGTCTGTGCATGTATGTGACGTACAGTGACTGTCTCTAGTTGACTAATGTGTCCCTTCATAGACTTTGGTGTGCTCTCAGGAAATTCCTGATCTCATCTTCTTTTTTTTTTTTCCTGCTCTGATTTGTAGGTGTCTGTTCCCTGTCCATTTATTGCTCATTGAGTTCTGCTGTGGTAACATATGACATCATTCTCATTTGTTTGCTCTAACTACTCTATACAAAGGGGTTCTGCTGTGGTAACATCTGACATCTCTCTCATTTGTTTGCTCTAACTACAGTATACAAAGGTTTGTTTTTTTTCATGCGCTATAAGAATTCGCAATTTTTTTTTTAAATCCGCAAAGTCAAGTTGTGAGCAAAATGTGGAAGTGTTAAGTGAGTGTTGCACAACTGTATTTTGTCTGTGTTTCTCTTGTCTCTTTTATCCACCTTCTATATACTGTATAATCCTACTGTATAATCCACTTATATTGACATGGTTTGGGAAGTGGATTGGATGTCGATATATATAAAAATGTTGATTTTAAAAAATATAAAGCCAAAGAGGAAAAAACAAGGGGAGGTCAGCTGTAAAAGACAACACTATTTTTTAAGCTGGTTGCTTCCCTTGATTCTTGAAACTAACGAGAGACGGAAGGGGTGGGGGTGGAGTTGTGGTACCAAAGACAGAGCAGCGTGAGGCACACACTAGACACAAGTGCAAACTTTGTTGTAGCATCCTTGTAAGGCCTGTTTGTGGCTGCTTGCTGGGGGAAATGGACCGTAGCACTTGCCAGCGACAGACTGAGAATAGGATAGGGGAAGGGGAGTGAGTGATCAGCAATGGAGGTAGGGATGCGATGCCCAGCGCGCAAGACGCTCACGTCTGTGGGGCACTGTACTGTGTTGGAGACTACTACTGACTACACTGTGTAGGCCCTACATGACCTACTAAAACCTGGTGTGTCGATACAGGCTACTTGGTAGGTATGCGGACTTGATGAAGAAGTAATGCGTTGACCGTAAGCATGGCTTTTCCCCCCCATTTATGTTCTAGGGCTTCGCCAGGTACCCTGGAAGCATGTTGATAAAGGAGAGTGGGTGAAAAAAAAAGTTGATACAAGGGAAATTGTTTAGTGAAGATATTGAAGGAAAAATTTCGTAATTGGAAAATATGTCGATATCTCAAAATGTCGATAAATCGGACATTGATATAGGTGGATTAGACTGTATTTTTCTCTCCCTCCCTCCATTTCTCTGTGTCTCTCTGGTCTCTCTCTCTATTCTTTTTCTGTCTGTCTGTCTGTCTGTCTGTCTGTCTGTCTGTCTGTCTGTCTCTCTCTCTCTCTCTCTCTCTCTCTCTCTCTCTCTCTCTCTCTTCAATTTTACAGTATGAGG